CATCTGCTTCCCCACCAACACTTGGCTTGCTTTACTATGAGCCTCACAAACCTTGTGACGTCGGTGGTAGTCCTTGCCATGTTTCAGATTCTCTTTGCAGTTATCAACTTGGCACATAGGATAATTAGGCTTGTTAGGAGATCGAGATCGGACTCTTTTTGTGGCACGTGAAGCCTCCTCCTCCTGTTCATCTCTAGGACTCAACCTGGAACCTCCTCCGAGGTTTAAGCTAAGAGTCTCACCATCATCAAATACACACGCAGAAGGTTTGTTATTAAACAGCTCATCGCTTCTTCTCCCTAATCCCTGCTGTCCATCAGATTCTCTTGGTTTGGCAACAAACCTGGCGCTATCCCACTCCCAAGCTTTGGGATTCCAGGTCTCAGGAGGCTTTTGAGTCGTCTGAAACGATGAAAGGCTGCGCTTGCTTGCAATTGAACGATGAGGCTCACGCAACCCAACACTTGATAGCTGTTGATGGTGGTGAATCAAGATTGGGGTAGCCACTCTTCCGCCCAAACCCTCCATTTTCTCAATCAATCAATAATCTTAACCTCAAAATCCAACCGTACAACCAGGTTCAAGTTTCACTGCTACAGATCAAAACCCCTAAAACTGAAAGCAAAAAACAGAGAAAGTGCATAACTAACAACAAATAATAAAATATACTCCTACTTGAAAGTAATATTAAACTTGTAGACTGCACCAATCATACAATTTTACCTGCCATGACGGGGATCTCCCAATTCGCCGGAAGAGAATCTCCGAAACGGACAAAAAACCTTCCCAATCCTCTAGAACTACTGAAGTGTTGACAAAAACGCAATTAGATCTGAGAAGAAGATCACATGGACGAAGGGACGGCACAAAAAAGTCTGCAGTTCTGCAGCCTATTTCTTTATTGCTTTTTCTGTGCGATTTTCTCTTTCAACAGACTCCTCGTTTTTTTAATCCTTCCATCTTTCTTTGGGGTCTCTGTGTCGCTCTCTCAGCTATGGCAGCAGGCTGGCAAAAAATGGTAAATTAATGGAACGATACAAAGAATTAGTTATGGATTTATGGTAAAACGCGATTTCTATTTTAGAATTCGGATTAGAGGAAAGAGTTTTTTTATTGCGGAATTACGGCGTACTTGTTTTTGCCTTTGGCGGGTCCCCTTGAGCAGTTGCGCATGTAATAATGTACGGAGTATTTCATATATATACATAGAGAAATGAATTCTCTCTTCTACCACAACCACAAGATATTCCCTCGGTGCCACATAAGCCATGATGTGTAAGAGTTTCTTACGGTGCAATAATAAAATAAAAATTGTAAAATTAAAAATTGTATAAAATGAGGTGAATTAACTTTAATTACATATAATTATCCACAGTGTAAGACAATATTATTATTTCAGGAAGTGAATCCCTTTTAGGGTTAGTCCAATATATATATATATATATAGACATCATGGGAGGAGACATAACCGGTACATTCAATAACTCTAATCATGGGAGGACTTGTATAACGTCTCTCACAACTTTCGTAATAAATGACTCCATAGAGCATCTTAAGTGGCAATATGGATTGACAAAAAATTCATTGTCACGTCATATTAAGGTAAAATGATCCTCTCCAATGACAATGTGTATTAGACACTCGATGCTGAGTTGGAATAGAAAAACGGAAGGACTTTCTACTTGCCTTTCTAGTTTCAACAAGGCTAACTAATAACCAACTCACCAAATCATTTAAGGAGTAATTTATTCATTTCATTTACTCCAGTGTCGCAAAGGGTCCCACCTACGGTGGGGTAAGGGGGGTCGGATGTATGCAGTCTTACCTCTGTACTAATGCACAGAGAGACTATTTCCGGATGACCCATAGTGAAAATCACGTCCAAAATTGCATGGACTGACTGCTGTTTCATAACAAAGAAGCGCAGACAATTTAGTGAGCCATTTTGCTTTATTCCATCATAATCTCAAGCCAAAAATTAATGAATCTTTGGCTCCATTGCAAATGATGGAAATTTATGGAGTATTTTATTATAGGGAGTATTTTTCCGGAAACATTTATCATAAGCAACGGAGGCCGTAACATCTCCGGTTCTCCGTAACTTAAAGCTTAAAGATATTTTCTTTAATTTTAAGAGAATCACTTGAGAATCTGCAGCACCCTATTACATCCAACTAACTCCAATTACATATAAAAGTGCAACAAATACTCCTCATATAATCTGGTATGTACATATGAGACACTACATAGTCGTGTTTCGAGAGGTTGGAGGTGAGATATTAACCTGCGGTTGTTTTGCACTAAAAAAAAGTAAAGATCTTTTTTTTAAAATAAAATTTTGTTAATGAAAGAGTAAAATAAAATTTAAGGAAAGAAAAATTACAGATCTATTTACATATTATCTCTTGGAAGAAGAAAGGTAGAGGAATTAAATACAGAGTAGTAACCGACCGCTGGTTTTTAGTTGTAAACGAATGATTGCACATTTGCATTGGAGAGAAAATGTTATTTCAACTGTCTGTATGTACATGTCACCTCCACAGACCCTCTAAATTAGTGACGAGTCCATATTTAATTAGGTGTAATCCACACTCCCATTAAAGATGCTCTTAATGTTCATGTCTCGTTAGTTTAATCTCTCTCGTTGTCAGATAGCCATGTGTTCATAGATGGCTTGCCATGTAAGTCCTAGGGCGAGTCTCATCTCGCTGGAACCCCGCCCAAACTCGAGACCTGTTGCCCAGGTCGTCATGGTATGGTGAGTACAAATACCAAAAAATCAGTATACCGCACTTACCATACCGAAAAATACCGAAAAATACCGGAATATTGGTATATCGTCATTTTCGGTACGGTATCATACCGTACCGATTAATTTTGGTAAGGTAACGGTAAATGTTTTCAAATACCGCGGTATACCGGTATAATACCGTACCGACTCCCTACCCAACAATTACTTTAAATTCTAAAATATTGTAAAAGCCCATTACAATTTTGAAGCCAAGAATTAATACTTAGGTTGATTACAAATACTAAAATACAAAAACAAAGACTCAATTTCCCAAACCCACTACAACTTCTAGGTTTCTACTACGTAACGTTTAAACAAACTAACCCGAATGACTAATGAGTAATGTACTAATGTCCAGGAACTAGTCCATCTTCATGATGAGTGAGCCGCTGACCGCTGAGTAGTTGATGAGTGAAGACGGATACACTTATGTGACGAGTGTATCTACATAAGGATTCCGCGAGTCGAGTCACACAACTTTGTCCGAAAGTCTTATTCAAATATTTTTTTAAACTATAAAAATGACTAAATACACAATATCATATTAGGAATAAATGATTTTATATCCATGTTGTTTGAATAGTTTTATTTATTTTTGTTAGAGATCACTATTCATATAATTATATCTATATTGTTCTAGTTATTTTAGGAGAACATGTTATTTGTTAATATGTGGCATGTTGAACTGATTAAATATACTAATAGTAATTATTGTTCAATATTGAATATGACATCAATAGATTATTAATTGATTTTATAACATTCTAATAATGGATTAAATATGTCGCTAGTAACACCGATTCAGTATATTTTGTTAGTCTATGATAATTTGTTGAATTGGGAGACATGCATGGTAATTTACCGATACCGTACCGTTACCGAACCGAAATTTCGGTATACTAAAATGCGGTATATCGAAACTTCGGTAAGATAATGGTATATAAATTTTGTATAATGAAAGTTTTGGTACGATAAAGGTATGAGAGAAAATATTCGGTATATTGTACTGAACCACACCTAAGTCTCATGGATGTGTGTGTTCCTTCACGGGCCACGATCCCCTATGTAAACCTAGCTAGGCGATGTTATTTACTAATCCCGAGTATTGGGCTATATTCCTGGTTTTGATGTTGAGTTATGACCACGGTCTATAGTACCGTCAACATATTATTATTTTACATGGAAATTATAGATTCTTTTGGGACAACTAAATTGATAAAGATTTGTGGGACGGGAAGTAATAAATACTCCTATCTCATAAAATATTATCAAAATTGACTTACATGTGGATTCATCATAAGAGCATCCCCAATGAAATGGTGTACCGTATTGAAGTACTAGTGTGTGTACCCGTGCATTGCACGGTAATTTTATTTGCTTGTATGTGTGGTAGAAATCGGAAAAAAGAGCGAACGTAAAATTATCACCTTTTCTGATCCATTTTATATGCATGTTGATGTTAATTTTACGCGTAAATGAAATATATCAATTTTTTCGATCGATTTTGTAAGATGTTTTATTTTTGACTTGGTGTGAAAAATGGTCATTATATAAATCAATGAGAACGAACTTCTACTTTTCCGACTTTATTATTGTATCCATCACTCGATTAAATTTAAAAATGAGAATTTTAGATACACTTCTTATTTTGTGAGGGTTAGCATGGTCAAAGGCTTGTATTCATTTTTTAACTCAACTTAATTTTTTGACATTGCACGGTGAGTTCTATAGTCAGTCAAAATACGTTATGATTTTCAAGTTGAATTGCAAAAATTACTGAGGAAGTTCAAATAAAATTGACTTACATGTGGATTCATCATAAGAGCATCCCCAATGAAATGGTGTATCGTATTGAAGTATAGCTTATGTTGTGACATAGGAGAAAGATAAGGATATAATGATTGCATTTAATAAAATGAATTTGGTGTATATGGAAAAGTGAAAAAGATGATAAAGATAGAAATAAATTGTAGACGATGTCTATGTCCATACATGAACTTTACACTGAACTCGATGAGCAAAAGTAAATGAAGAGCGAGTGAATGAAAGTGATAAGTTTGATAAAATTTTTTAAAAGAAATATAAAGATATGTAGGTCTTACACATAAAAAGTGTGCCTCGAAGAATGGGACTTACATGAACAAGTGTGTAAGAAGACTAGACACTATATATATCACAATTGCAATACTAAAAAAATAAAAATGAGAGATGGAGACGAGCGAACCCTAGGGCGTGCGGTGATCGATAAGTCTCTTCTCATCCGACTCAGTAACGACGCAGAGGACAAGATCATAGCCTGGGTGATGGTATTGACTTCACACTCCTCATCCTCTTTCGATCAGCTACTTTCATCCGACTCAACAATGGCACATAGGACAAGATTGGAGGCTGGGTTACGAATGCTTTCTGGATTCCGTTCGAATGTGTTTTTATTTCAAAGCTTTCCTTGTTACACTTCTTCTCCGTCTGATTTTTGGCTGAGTCTCACTGTTATGGTCGACATACTACTTTCATTGTAAACAGTTTATGTTGTTAGATAGTGCTCTCAATTTACTTGTTGGCATATTTCTGTGAGTATTGTAATTGATCATCGTTATCTAATGGAGAATATATTTAATGCTTATAGGGGGTTGTCGATTGAGGAAGAGGGAAATAGTGGTTTGGTATTTGAATCTGGCACCATAGATATTGGCGGGGGGGGGGGGGGATTCACATTTTTGTTGTAGCAAGGGTTGTCACGAATAAATATGTCTGGCATATCTCTTATTGTGAGACGATGGCAATGATATGGCATCCGGGGAAAGGAGTGAGTATTGAAGATTGGGGATATGCGCTTTTTATGAAATTTTATCACAAGAGTGACATCTCTCGGGTGCTGCGAGATGGTCCATGTTCTTTTGGTCTGAATCTAGTAGTTATTAAGAGGGTTGAAGCGGTTGATAGACCATTAGAGGCGGAGTCAGATCGTGCTAAGTTTTGGGTTCAGAGTCATAGTATGCCTCTGAGTTTCATGACTGAAAAAGTGCCGATAGGCATTGGTCGTTACCTGGGATGACTGATTCAGATTGATGAGAAGACACTAAAGGGTGCCAACCAGCAGTATATTCGCATCCGCGTTCCCATAAACATCAAGAATGCAGTGAAAAGAAGAACACAAATAAGAGAAGAGGGTGACAATTGATTTTGGACGGACTTCAAGTATGAGAGACTTCCCAATCTTTGCTTCATTTGTGGGGTATCAGAACATACTAATCGTTATTGCCCCACCTGACACCCGTTAGGTGCCATGGATCAGAGAGAAGCCTTATGGTCCCTGGATGGGAGCAGATATGCGGCGTAGAGGGATTCACCCGGGTAACAAATGGCTCATCCCGCGTGGAGGAAGAGGATCCATGGGTGACAAGGAAGAAAGTGAGATGGACAAGATCGATAAGGAAGTAGGGACTGGATTTTTACTCTGTTCAGGGTCTTATTTCCAAAGGAAAAGAGAAATGAGTATCGGGGAGGAGCAAGACCAGGGTCGCTCTGGAGGAAGGAGAGTATATGAAACGACGAGCTTTGGATCTCCAGAATTTGGTGGAGGTTCAAGTCCATATGGAGGTTGATGAAGAAGGTTCAAAAAACGGCTTAGCGGTGACGCTTCCGGAACAACACCACTTGAAATAGTGACTGGTCCCACACATGAGATGTTTCCTTTGGAGCTGGTTGGACAAACCTTTTTTTCCTTTCCGGTGGCTGGTAAAACTGAAATGCTAAAATTATTCTGTTGCTCTCTTTGAACAAATAATTCCAGTCTTCTTAATTCTCATTTAGTAGCAAGTTAAGCGATGCTTTTAGATTAGTCTACATAGTTGCAGAATTAGCAAATGTGATGGGTCCCTGGTGGCTAACCAATTCTATGTCTCACCCGAGTATAGTCTTGAACTATTGTATTGCTTTACCTTTTGTTACTTTTATCATTAATAAATACTACATAAGTTTCTTTCTTCCAAAAGACTATACATTATCATTAGACAAACTCTAAATAAAAAATTGTGTGATTCAAATTTGTGTTGATTAGATAAATGATTTTAGTCACATATTTATGACTTTAGATGGCAATAATAAAGTTTTGTAGGTTGCCTAAATAAAAAAGTTAGTAAAGTTTTGTGGGAAAGAGTGAATGCTTCATAACTATTAAAAATTATTAGGGTATAATAATTAGAATTGAGACAATATAGTATGAAAAAGAAGTGGGGAAAATAGAAAACTAGAAAAAAAGAGAAGAAAAGTGGAAAGTAGAAAGAAAATGTAAAAGTGAAAAACTAGGAATGAAAATGGGAAAAGTCAACGTAAAAATTTTAAAAACGGAAACACGCAAAACATTAGAAAAAAAAACAAAAATGAATATATGCCCGGCAACTATTACAAAATGAGTGGATGTATATAGAATTGAATTCATTGATGTATGTGATTGAGATTCCGATTGTAAAAATTAAATTAAGTAATCCATTTTTTAAAATGATCCAATTTATTATTATATATCATCATTAAAAAACATCTACTAGAGAGATTTCCATGCTTGATCAGGTTAAGAAAGAAAAAAACGAATGCTTGAAATTTGTGTAGAAGATAGAGAAATAATATGAATGCAAATTAATTATTTTAAATAGTAAATTATAAACTTAGAATAAAAAGAAAGTTGACAAACAAATGGTAGTTTCGACGGTAATCACTTCACGAAAAAGCAGTCTTTGATTTAATTCCACGCTATTATAAATCGACGTCAACTATTACGTAGAAGATAAGTATAAGTGGTGAAAGTAGAGTTTCTTTATACTTTCATATATATTTAAGATTATAAAAATTGAAACTAATAATCAATACTTATAAGCAAAAAGGTATACAAATCACTTCATTTTCCATTAGTTTGGATTAATATTACTCATAACCACATAATGTAATCATAAAGAGCGAAGAGCCCCTAGATCTTATGAGGGGAAAAACCAAATGATCGAACTAGTGTAATTAAAAGCAAATGAAGTCATGCACTAATGTAAATCTTCACTCAATATATAGGAACCACCATAAAAAAGTCACATTAAACATGAAGAAAATTTAAAGATCACTCCGGCATCCTTAGTCCAACTGCAAATCCTATTAAAGGCCTTCTAATCGGCATGGATTCAAATTCATCATCTTGAGAGTCCGAGCTAGGCTCAAAACTCTAGCTCTGGGTAAGGAGACACATGAAGATGTGTCACATCTAATGGCTTAAGGCAACACTACAAAAATGTTGTATTACACCTCTAATGTGTTGTGTTGGGATCAATTGCAACAAATTTTCATTTTTAAAGTGTTGAGATTGGTGTCTATGACAATAAATTTAAAAGTATTGCAACTAGTTTAGCTAAGGCAACATCATTCCTCACAAAGAGTAAGGCAACACTTTTTAATGCAAATACACTACTTTAATATTGCAACACTTGAAGCAGCATTTTGCACTAAAAATGTGACGCTTTTATTATTATTATTATTATTATTATTATTTTAAAACCATTGTTTTAGCACAAATTGAAACATTTTCAATTAAAATAGACCACAGTTCAATTAAAACCACTTTTTAATTCCCTGAATTACAATATGTATTAATTATAACTACTTCAATTGTCATTCATTAATAACTTAACTAGTTTTACACCCTTGCGATGCACGGGACAAAAGTGTTGTTATATATTATCTATATATACTACTTCTGTCCCGTCGAAAGCTTTCCATGGCAAAACGGCACGGTTATTTAGATAACTATTGAATAAGGTAGTCTAGAAATATTTTGAGAAATAATTTTAATAGGTATATAATATAATGGGGTTAGTGTTGATAGATGTGATGGTATAAATGTATTTTTTTTAATATTTTATGATTAATTTGTCATTTAAGATTGTTAATTGTTTCCTAAAATGAAAATGGAAACTTTATATGGGACGTCCAAAAAGGAAAGTGAGAACCTTTCTATGAGGCAGAGGGGGGGGGGGGTATATATTAAAATATTTATGTGGAATAATTCAAATAACAATGAAACACATGTATGATATACTCGTAATAAAGTTGTTATACTCGATGTATTTATAAAACAAAAAATATTACTCTCTGTTCTTTATTAACTGTCTCGTATTCTTTTTTTGGACGTTTTTAATTATTTGTCTTTTTTTTTTCTTTTTGGTAAATTTTTTCAATCAAAATACCTTTATACCCCCACTTTTATTCCTATTATCCCTTTCTCTTTCCTACTTTTTCATTTACCCACAACCCACTACACCTTTTACACTACCCCTATTATTTTCCCCTTAAAACCAGTGTCAAAGCTTAAGAGAACTCATATTTAAGAACGGAAGAAGTACAAAGTAGAAGACATTAAACAAGCTGAAAAACTTTGGGAAATTGTCAAGAATAGGAGTAAAACATTGTCTCCATATTCAAATAGGAGCATCAGTTTTATTATTCACAAATAGGAGTATTTTTAGATGTCCTGACCGGTTCATATAATAAAATGATTACTAGGGTCAATAATTACAGGAAACATTGTTGGGCTCTAGGCAAAAGCCCAAGTATCTACCGATCCTCTCTTCCGTGTGGGCAGGTACCTACCAGATGCAAGGGTTACAATCTCTCTCTTCTAAAACGAATCAAAGGTCTAGAGAAGAGCGATAGTGCAAACAAGATGGTACGCCGCCGCCGATACAGTGGAGACAATAGAAACGGCCGAACTGATGGCGATGACACAGTAGCGGCGGGCCGGCAGCTGAATGCCCTAGCTGCACGGCAACTTAGTGGCGACAGAATGGCGACACGGCGGCGGCTGGAGGGTGCTTCTTTGCTTTTTTTTGTATTCATTTGGATTAGTTTTTTTTTTAAAATTTAATATTCTTCTTTTTCCCTAAACATTCTTGAATCTGGAAGTGCCGTTAATCTCTATTTAAACCTTGTTTGTGAATAATCCCATTCGTATGGCATTATCTTTGTGAAGATGGCACTTCTGCTTGTTTGAATTTTTTTATTATTATAATGCCATGTTTTTTAGTCTGAATGTCATTTGGACAAGTAATGTCATTTTCACTGTACTAACATTTATCAAGATGACATTTATGCGTAATGTTTTCTGATATTGCCATAATTTAAATGAAAATGACATGTTCCGTCAACACATTAAGTTATACTTCCTTCGTGCGTACTAGTTACTCCACGGATAGCTCAGTTGGTTTGGTGGAAAATTTGTACCAAGTGATCAAAGTTCGAAATCCGTAGCGATCGTGTGGAGGTCACAGAACTTGAAATAAGTTTGGTGCGCACGGGAAAAATGTCTAACATCATTGGGCCAACTGAGTCACCGTGATTAATATCCTCCCAAAAATCCTGTCGGGGTATGGGGGGCTCCTGGGGTGGGAGATTCCACCTTTTGGACCAAGTTACTCCACTTGTGCATTGCACAAGAATGAAATACTTACAATTGGTTTCGTTTATAATGGGAACAGTCTATAGGGGGGTGAATAGACTATTCAGGATTTTCAAACTTTTCTCTGAGTCAACTCTGACTTACCAGAGAAGGTCTGGTTCTGGTGACGGAGAAGGTCGAGTTCTGATGGCAGAACTGGACCTGACAGCGGATAAGAGTTCTGTCCGGGTAGCCTCAGGAAAAACGCTAAGGTAAATGCCTTTCTGATAACTCTTAAGGGAGATCTGCTAAACACAGAGTCCAACCTTCTGAGTTAAACAGTTAGAGTCTTAAGTGCAGAAAATTAATGCGTAAAGTAAATGACATCAGGGTTTTTATAGTGGTTCAAGGAACAAAGTGTTCCTCTAGTCCACTATTCCACTAAGCTTGCAAAAACAATAGTTTACAACGCCTTAGTTCATAGCACTTAAGAAGCACTCCTCGTCTTCTTCAAGTCTATTTGCCACCCGGGATGCAGTCCTTGCTTTCTGATCGCTGGTCTCGTTTCACTGAGTCTCTTGGAAGTATCCTCACTTCACTTACTCCAGCTAGTTTGAGACGTCCCTTCTTTTTCAAGAAGTGTTTGATTGAAAATCAGTTTTCTCCAATGTAGCTTCTTCACAATGGATGTGTAGTTGAGGCTTTCGAAGTGTTGAAGAACTGGAGGAACGATTCTTTTTCGTTGGAAAGAAAAGATATGGAGTTTATAATCTTTTCCAACATTTAGTGTGTTGCTCGTGATGAATATAGGTTGAAGTCTATGAGCGTTTGAATATTTTTCTTTTCGTGGTATCATTGTTTTTTCAATCCTTCGAAGTGTATCTTATATACTGGGAGCAGTCTTCCCGTTGGAGTGTAGAAGACAACTTCATTAATTGTTTGTGTTAGGTATGGCTCTACCAGTCCCTTGAGACGGGGAAACTCGCGCATCTTAAACCCGCCTCTTCGGTAGGAATGCCAAAGAATCCCACACCGGTGGGCTAGGAGAGTCCTTGGTACCTTATAAGGCCTAGACTCTTCACCACTATCGACACGTTTTAAATCCGTGAGGGGCAACCCAAAGCGGACAATATCGGTAGGTTGCCTCCCGGGTGTGGGATCGATCCGCATGGTCAATCATCAGGTTTAAATATCTCTTCGTACGTACCACATTAATTGAGCATTTAATGCGTGTACAGTACCATGTTTCCATTGAATGGTTATTAGCCGTTAGGGTATTTCACGTTAGTTTCACGACCGTTGGAATGTACCTTCGAATTCTGCTAAGTACCAGCAAGTCTGATGAGGCTTTTTTGTTGAAACTCTGATGTCTGCCTCTGATGCCAACTCTGGTACCCAACTCTGGTGACTTCTCTGATGAGCAACTCTGAGAGCAACTCTGATGAGCAACTCTGATCAGAAAGTCCAAGAGGGTCTCTGGCTAGTCGACTATGCTAATACTTACAAAGAAAATTTCTAATACAAAAATGCTAATGGGGTACTTTAAAATTCTAATTAACCTAGCATCATCAAAATCTAAATACATTTATTTCTTATAATTTCCCCCTTTTTGATGATGCCAAAACCCTTTAACTATTTCCAGAGAAGTGCCATTCACCACAAGAGAAATAAAGTTCAAAAACTTCTATTAAAAACTTGGTGGGCAGCTTAGCATAGGAAATAGTAAGAGTGCGATACATTCAAGATAGCATACAATAAATAAAGTATCACAGCACAACATAAACACAAACACAGAAAGCAATAAAGAACAAAGAATTGAAGGTGCCATGCAAAATAGAGGCAGAGATGGTATCATATTATCAGAGAGTATATAGATACAATAGATATAAGAATCAAGGTTCTTCTTCATCTACCTGTGGTCCTGCTTCATCAATTCTTCTGAGCTCTACATTGATTTTGGCTCTAATGGAGGCTAGGTTCCTCGGATTCTGGTACTCAGACCAGTGAGGCTCTAGTTTGCAATCCAGGTAGTTCTTTACAACTTTTGAAATATTTTTACCTCGTATGACCTTCATTTGCCACCACATATCAGCTTCTTCAATAGATCCACCATGATTGACTTGAACAAGTCCATCATTGTCCATGAATAGATTCTCCCGCTGTAGTGGGGTCATCAGCTTTTTCATTTGCTCAAACTGAGCTCTGTCAGGTCTGGACAATCCACTCTTCATCTAATCATTAAATGAGAAGTTGGATGACTTCTTTTTGGAGCTTCTAGGAGGTGGAGGTGGACGTCTGTGGGTTCCAGCAGCAAGTTTCTTCTTCTTTGTTGCTTTGAAGTAAGGAGCAGGATCACCAGAGGGTGGGTTTCGGATAGTCAGAGTTCTGGAGCTTGGTCCTTCTGCTTCTCTGGTTCCTTTTTCTCTAGTCTCTTCCCCCTTTTTGGCATCAACAAGATCACCAAGGAGGAGCTCTATCTTGGAAAGCTCCGAGGCTTGAGCGTCTCTGATTTCTTCAAGAGCTTCTGGAAGGGTTTGAGTAACAGAGGCCAGTCCTTCCAGTCCTTCTATCATGCTCTGTTGTTTCTCTACTGAAGATTGAATATCTCTGGTGCTTGCCTCTAGGAGTACCATCTTCTGGTATCGCTCCTTGTCATTCTTGAGGAGATTTGAGGCTTTTTCCTTATGATCATTGCAAAGAAACTGTAGTTCCATGAATCTCTCCGATGATTGATCAGCGTTCCATTGGAAAATATCAATAGACTCAGATATCTCCTTGAGAGCCTTATTGTGCTTGTTTAGAGTCTCGGAGTGTGAGTAAAGAACAGAATTGACATCATCCACTTCTCTTGAAACTGCATCTACTTTAGCATTCGATGCTTCCATGAATGTAGTCAGTGTCTGGGTCAAGGTTTCAACTTTCTCAGCAATCTGCTGTAGCCCAAGCTCAAGATTTATGTTAACATGGGTTAAGTGCTCATAATGCTTGTCATTGATTAGAACAAGCTTATTCATCCCATCCAGCACTTGGCCACCAAACTCTTCTGCTGCTTCAACAAACCTGTTGAAAGGAATCTGAGGTTCTTCTGCATCAAAACCCGGCATTTGCAGACCTTTGCCCTTAGGCAGGGGAGGAGTTCTTCTGGTAGGTTGTAGCAGAGATGGAGGTTGCAAGGAAGGTTCTCTGGGAGGAGTTTTCCTTCTCTTGGAAGTGAGATCAACAACAAGAGAGGATGGAAGAAATCCATCATTGTCACTATCAGAAGATAGCACACAATGCAGAGGCTTTTTCTTTGGAGTGGATGCTGCAGAGTGATGAGAGGACCTCTGTGGTGTAGCATCTCTGGGTGTTGGCTTCTGTTGTGAAGGTGTGGCAGACTTGGATTTCTGGTGGGGTGAGCTCTGGTGAGATGGGGATCTCTGATAAGAGGTTTTCTGAAGGGGGGAGTTCTGATGAGAGGCGGTTTTCTGTTGAGGGGTTTGTTGAAGTTGGGGAGATGGAGGAGGTGAAGGTGAACGGTTTCTGGTAACGGTTTGCTGTTTGCAGGGTGATGAGGACTCTGATTTTCGGGGAGATTGTTTAGATGGGGAGGATAAATTAGTAGAGGTTTTCTATTTAGAAAGAGATTTCTGGGGAGATGGTGTTCTGGTTGGGGAGGGATTCTGTTGGTGAGAGGGGGTTTTCTGTGCAGAATGTGACTTGGGAGGTGAAGGGAATTCTGGTGGAGTGTTAACAGGTGTGATGATTTTGGAAAATGATTCTTTAGGAGAGGGAGGAGGGAGTTCTGTAGAGTTATGAACAGAGGGGGTGTCAGGGATTACCTCAAGAACTGTATCTTCGAATTGTGATTCCCTCCATTCTCTGACCAGATTCTCCATTGTCAAAGGTAGGTCATTTGTTGTGGATGGCTCTCCTTCTCCATGGTGGCTGTGACGAAATTTGATTAAGGATTCCTTCCTTTTCTTCTCTATCAGCCAGGCATCAAAGTCAGCCATTTCATGTTCCTCCAATGCCTTCACATGCTTTTCTGGTGAAATGGAGATGAGAGGTGCCTTTCCCTTGTATTTTTCTTTCTTCTTCTCTAGGACAGTGTCAAGAAAGGCAAGGTCAAAGCAGCTAGACACATCTTCTGTGCCTACCCAGTTGAGGACTTCAGCTTCTTCTGTCTCATAATGATCAAAGAACTGGATGATCTGCTGAAGTGACCCCATTCTCCATCTTCTCCAGGCTAAAACATGTTCATATTGTTTATCAAGAACATCATTGAAGTCAGTCTCCGGTTCTCTGTCAGGAGTGACTTGTTGTTTTGGTGAGGATTTAGTGGGAGGCATGTCTGGTACAGAGGAGGTTTGTGCCTCTGGTTCAGGTTCCTCTGAATTTCTAATCCCTTGGAGAGGAATAGCTTCTCTTTTCTTCTTCTTCTTGCTTGGTTGGGGTGCTGTACTATCAGAGTCCTCACTCTGAACAACCAACTTTTTTCTCCTCTTCAGTTTCTGCTTCTTCGCAGGAGACTTTCTGGTAGGTTTAGGAGAGGCCATCTTTGATGCAACCTCCTCTGGTGCATCCTTCTCTGGTATGGCCTTTCTGTCATTGGTTTTCTTCTTTCTGATCTCCTTATCAACCCTTGTTTGCTCAGGCTGATTAGAAGTCACAACGGGCTTCTGGGAGACCTTCTTGGGGACAGCTTTAGGTTTTATAACCTGTTGTTCCCTTTTCTTCTCCAGCCTTTCTTCTCTCTTTAAT